GCCAAAAACGTGGCATGGGCACTGAGCTGTGACAGCAGCACTGAAATATTTGACAGCCGGGGTTAAGTTAAAGCTCAGTTTTCAAGTTCCTCTGAAAATGAAGCGAAAAACCCAGCAATCGCTGTTCAGTACCTGGGATAAATTGAAGAGAAAATAGAAATGGTACAAACGAAGGTCATAAGTTCTTTTCTTTCAAAAATATAATTCAAATTAGTTCTTTTATCTCCAGTGAATGTACGCGTAATTTAATTAGTTCTTTAAAAACGACATGCAACGAAGTGCTTGGCTCGCACATGGAGGATTTTTGAGAACAAATAACTGCAAAGATTTCTTTCAACAAAAGAAACAAACTTTAAACTCGGCAGCCATAAGATGTTTGTGTAAATATTGAAAGTGAAATATAAAACAGGCGAGCTTATCAAGCAGGGAAGTATGAATAAATACACGCACTATTTCAAGGCTTCATTATAAAGCGAAACATTTGCAAAATATGCCAAGTTTAAGTTTGATTGTATCAATTTTATCACTTTTGAAATCATGAGCGAAAAACCCAAACTACCGCAGAAGTTCAAAACGTTGATGATGGTCCGCACGGGATCAGAAAACATTCTGAGCTTAAATCCGCAGGAAACTTCACCAAGTATTACAGGCTTCTGCTTGCAATGGTTACCAATCACAAGCTTCATCATGTTCAATGAATTCCACCCCTAGCACTGTGTTAAAGCCACTCAAAACTTGTGTTTTAACAAAATAAATGTCAAACCTCAATCTAGTGACTTCAATGCCAGGAAAACTCTTTCCTTGTTTGGCTTTCTCATCTGTTTTTACACGCGTGATTGACCACAAAATGAGAACGTTTCTGACGTTTTTGATATTTTTTTCGAATTTGATCCAGATGACTAACACATTACATAACACGTATTTTTTTCTCGGTGAAATTGCTTTCCTTTGAGAAAAGAACAAAACCATGATTGCCTAAAATACACTGAAATGCACTTTTTGGAACCCCAATTTCAAAATTTTCCTGGGGAGGCTCCTGGACCCCCAAAAAAGGTTGCAGTCCACCCCCCTCCCCCTCCATGTGGCCCCGATAAATTCACTCCACGTCCTTTTATCGGCATTGTCCGCCGCCTACCCAAAGTTATTCTCCCTCTACTTCAAATTTTCTGGAGAACCCTGAACATTATCTGTTGAAAAACTGTTATTTCATACCCTGTAGTGTAATTAACCGTGCGGCCATGGGCCGAGCGCGGTTCGTGTTCTACCCTTGGTTTAATTTTTTTAACCGCGCGGCCATGGGCCGAGCGCGGTTCATGGTTTACCCGTGGTTTTTTTTTTTCGCAGTTTTGTCTGCGACCAGACCCAAGCTTCCACTCGGCCAAATTCTGAGTCACGCAACCTGTGATGTTTACTCGCCAAAAGCTGTTGAAACATTAATAAATCTCATCTCCGATAC